GCTTTCTGAGAGATGTGTCCGCTCTAAGCTCCTCTGCCTGCCTGCCAGCCTCTAAGCCTGAATGGCGTTGGCAAGCATGACAGTGAGTGAGCGAGAGCAACGGAGAGAGCTGCTGGTGGGTGGAGGAAGCAAAAAATTAGGCAACACAAAGACACACAACTACAACAAAGGCAGACAAGCATTTTGGCAGTTTAACACCAGTTTACGGCGTGAAAATCTTTCCTCGGCGTGTCGGTGCATGGCACTGTGTCCTCACATGTATAGACGGATGACACTTCTCCTGGAGGCATCTCTGCTGTGATTATTAAACCCTTTCACATACGTCTGAGAAACGACTGAGGGCATTCGTACACATGCTCCGTACTCTGTAGACACAAACACGTCTTCTCCCTTCACCAGGAAAAGGCTCACTGACATGAAGAATCCCTTTTACAAGAGCGTCCTGGTGAAGACAGGAAGCAGCAGGTGAGCGTTACAGACACACCGCTGTTCGCACAGCGTTAGCCGACAGACAGACAGACAGACAGTGGATCTTAAAGACATGTGCCACAGGTAGGGCAGGGTGATGTGGCCCAGGCCAGGCCACAAGTCAGGAACAATGATCACGCAGAAGATCGGCTCGTTAAGAGCCAGTCTGGATTCCCAGCGTACTTTAACGCCCCCGTTCCCCCTCGCAGTGCTCTGGGAGCAGATACTGGGAGCAAAGACAATCCTTGCTTTTGGTTGATATAAATCCACAGATACTAAGGAAGCAGACCAAGACCAGCTTTAAAACGAGAGCATGCCGGTGATTGAGTCGACAGGTGGACAGGGCAGACCATAAAACCGGAGCGTCTGACATGCTACAGGGAGTGAGAGTTAACATTTGTAATAAACCTCAGCGGCCTGCGGTAGACGATACCCGACGCATGTGAGCGTTACCAGAAGGTATGCACGTCTACAGCATCCCCATCATCCAACAGCAGCAGTACGGTGGTGACAACACGTCTCCTCTGAGCTTACAGACACAATGAACCTATTCTGAGATAAAAACCTGAACTTTAGTTGTTCTAACCAGCTGCCTTTCCTCATTCTGACTGACGCCCGATGCTCACCGCTCACTGCCATGAGGAAGCATCCCTCATACGCCGACTCTGGGAGGAACACACACGTCTCCACCCAAACAAAACAAAGTCAGAGAGGCTGCAATCATCTGTGTTCTGGTTCTGGATATGTGACTGTACTGGCCTGTTTAAAGAGGAACGGACTCAGACTTAGTGCTTTGCTTTGTTTGATGATCCAGACGCTGCTCATGTCCGCACAGCTACAGGACATTTACTGGACAGCGTCTGGTACGATGTGAAGGTATTTCAGAGCATCTCCTCCACGTCGGAGCGACTCAGCAACGAGGCCCGATGGTGGAGGCTGCAGCTCGGTGACTTCCTGACAAGGAGGCTTTACTGTGTGGACACACTCAGGACCAATTCATCTGTATTCATGTGTTTAAATGAATTCGTTTGTGCATGTTTCATGATTGTGCTAACATTATTACCTTCATGCCTTTACAGCTTGTTTAAAGCAGTTACATTCAGAGTGAGGCGGTAAAGCTCATGAAAAACAGAGCATCAGAAATGATCAATAGATCAATAATAACAATGATATCGATTAAAACATTTGGTTGGGAGAGTTGTTTCAGCCCAAACCTCGTCTGTCACTTTAACTGCACAGATCTTTGATTTATTATTTGAATGGCAGAGCTCCTGGTTCTCTGACCACACACACACACACACACACACACACACACACACACACACACACACACACACCAGTA